TGCACTGGCATGCCGGCTTGTTATTCACGCTTGGTCCCTTACGCGTGCACTTGCTATTCGCCATTTGGAATCCCGCCTTGCACTGGCATGCCGGCTTGTTATTCACGCTTGGTCCCTTACGCGTGCACTTGCTATTCGCCATTTGGAATCCCGCCTTGCACTGGCATGCCGGCTTGTTATTCACGCTTGGTCCCTTACGCGTGCACTTGCTATTCGCCATTTGGAATCCCGCCTTGCACTGGCATGCCGGCTTGTTATTCACGCTTGGTCCCTTACGCGTGCACTTGCTATTCGCCATTTGGAATCCCGCCTTGCACTGGCATGCCGGCTTGTTATTCACGCTTGGTCCCTTACGCGTGCACTTGCTATTCGCCATTTGGAATCCCGCCTTGCACTGGCATGCCGGCTTGTTATTCACGCTTGGTCCCTTACGCGTGCACTTGCTATTCGCCATTTGGAATCCCGCCTTGCACTGGCATGCCGGCTTGTTATTCACGCTTGGTCCCTTACGCGTGCACTTGCTATTCGCCATTTGGAATCCCGCCTTGCACTGGCATGCCGGCTTGTTATTCACGCTTGGTCCCTTACGCGTGCACTTGCTATTCGCCATTTGGAATCCCGCCTTGCACTGGCATGCCGGCTTGTTATTCACGCTTGGTCCCTTACGCGTGCACTTGCTATTCGCCATTTGGAATCCCGTCTTGCACTGGCATGCCGGCTTGTTATTCACGCTTGGTCCCTTACGCGTGCACTTGCTATTCGCCATTTGGAATCCCGCCTTGCACTGGCATGCCGGCTTGTTATTCACGCTTGGTCCCTTACGCGTGCACTTGCTATTCGCCATTTGGAATCCCGCCTTGCACTGGCATGCCGGCTTGTTATTCACGTTTGGTCCCTTACGCGTGCACTTGCTATTCGCCATTTGGAATCCCGCCTTGCACTGGCATGCCGGCTTGTTATTCACGCTTGGTCCCTTACGCGTGCACTTGCTATTCGCCATTTGGAATCCCGCCTTGCACTGGCATGCCGGCTTGTTATTCACGCTTGGTCCCTTACGCGTGCACTTGCTATTCGCCATTTGGAATCCCGCCTTGCACTGGCATGCCGGCTTGTTATTCACGCTTGGTCCCTTACGCGTGCACTTGCTATTCGCCATTTGGAATCCCGCCTTGCACTGGCATGCCGGCTTGTTATTCACGCTTGGTCCCTTACGCGTGCACTTGCTATTCGCCATTTGGAATCCCGCCTTGCACTGGCATGCCGGCTTGTTATTCACGCTTGGTCCCTTACGCGTGCACTTGCTATTCGCCATTTGGAATCCCGCCTTGCACTGGCATGCCGGCTTGTTATTCACGCTTGGTCCCTTACGCGTGCACTTGCTATTCGCCATTTGGAATCCCGCCTTGCACTGGCATGCCGGCTTGTTATTCACGCTTGGTCCCTTACGCGTGCACTTGCTATTCGCCATTTGGAATCCCGCCTTGCACTGACATGCCGCCTTTCCTCCCACCGCCTTGCACTGGCATGCGGCTGCCACATCAAAAGTGGAAGACAGGAGAGCAGGGAGGAATGAAGGATGAGAGGGGGAGGGGAAGAAGGGCATACAAGCACCAGAGTGCGTGGCTAAGGCACATCAATTGTTCATAAATGCAAGTGGGTGGTGGAGGGAGTGAGAGAGGAGAAGTATATCAAAGTCACTCGGGCTGGAACGGCTACCAAGATAGTGATACAAGAAGGAGAGCGTGCTTCTCTCCCTTACGTGTGCACTTGCTGTTCTGCATTTCGAACCCCGCCTTGCACTGACACTCCGCCCTTCCTCCCACCACTTTGCACTGTGCATTAGCAGGGCAGCCAGCCTGGCATACGGCTGCCACATGGAAAGGGGTGAATGGGAGAGGCAAGAATGAAGCAAAGAAAGATGGGCGGGGAAAAGGAGGAGAGAATACAGTCAGAGTAGATGGCGTACAGTCAGTCAGTCAGAGGAGATATGGCAACTGTTACGGGTGGAAGCTAGTGGATGGTGGAGGGGAGAGGGGAAGGCATGAGGTTCACTCGGGATGGAACAGCTTCTAAGAGGGCAGAATGCTTGTCCTCTCCCTTACGTGTGCACTTGTTGTTCTGCATTTGGAACCCCGAATTGCACTGACACTCCTCCCTTCCTTGCACCACCTTGCACTGCGCATTAGCAGGGCAATTGGCCTGGCATACGGCTGCCACACGAAAAAAGGGGAATTGCAAGGGACAGAAGGAACGGAGGATGAGCGGGGAAGAGAAGGGTTGACAGCATACAGAGAGAGTAGATGGCTTCAATGGGATGCGGGCTGTACACGGCTTGAGAGCAGAGGTTGTGACTCATGGAGATGGAGGGGTGGCGGTGGTGCGAGCGAATGCAGAGACCGGGCTGTGACTCATGGATATGGAGGGGTGGCGGTGGTGCGAGCGAATGCAGAGATGGAGGTGTAACCGGGCTGCACTGGCATGAATGAGAGCGAGACAGATCTCCGAGCATACTTGACTTTCCGGGTCCCATACGTGTGCACTTGTTATTCACCACATGAAACTTAAGAAAAAAACTGATGGACGCGAGCAAGTGTCTTGAATTTAACATGTGCTTGCACTTACTGATCTCGCAACCAACTGATAGCGGCAAATCCATTGTTTTGGCAACAGTTCTGAGAGGAAAAAGGGAAAGGTAAGAAGGTAAGGTCAGGGAAGACCACATACAAGGAAGAGAATGACATTCCCTCACATTCATGCTAGAGCAGGAAAGAGCAATCTGGTGACTTAGTCAAATCCTTTCATACGCGGTAGAAGCACACTACAAAAGCGCACTTCATGTGGCATGCATCAAGCTCACACACCACACTTCATGTGGCATGCATCAAACTCACACACCTATCCGTGACGGGATAGAAATATGACCTTTGAGTCCACTCAAAAGCCATCACGCTCACACACCACACTTCATGGGGCGTGCATCGAGCTCACACACCTTTCCGTGACGGGGAACGAACGGCCAACTTTCGCAGGCCGCGCAATTATCACTCTTGGCTTGTCCGTGCAGCCCTTCTCATCGTGGAACGACAGGCTCTTGCACATGCCGCTGCCAGCCGCAGGAATGGTGGTGGAGTCATCCCACACGACGGTGATCTTGATGTCATTGAAGGTGATAAAGTTGAAGCTGAAGTTGAGGTCGGTACACGTGGTGGTGCCACTGGCTCGCTCTGCTGGCACCGAGGTCTCAAAGTTTAGCCTCTCCACGTTGATTGCAAAGTCCTTTTCCTGCACCTGCACCGTCGTCTGGAGGAAGGGGCCTGAGCGCCGATCACCGTGACCGTTGACACAATGGTCGGTACCACAACCGATGGTTGGAGCCAAAACCAATGGTTGGTGCCACAATGCCGCAACCAATGGTTAGCGCCGCAATGCCGTACCGTGGCCGTTGAGGTGAGGGTTTGGAGAAGATGATGGGGGTTTGGATGCATCGCGGTGGTGGCGGCAGAGAGGAAGGAAGGGGGAGGGAGTAGGCAGAGGGGAAGGTGCGGGGAGGAGTGAGGAGAAGAAATAAGTAACTCTGCTTGTAAGTGGAATAGTATGTCTGCTGAATAGTTCTCAGGCAGAAGCGCCGACTGTTAAAATGAGTCTGTTTCGAGAAATGTATCGTCCCCAACCCACCGGAGCAGCACTCACCAGAGCAGCACTCACCGTAGCAGCAGGAATCGCCAGAGCAGCACTCACGTCACCGTAGCAGCAGCAGCACTCACCGTAGCAGCACTCACCGTAGCACGTCTTGTTAACTTCATCGAAGATCAAGCCACTCTCCAGGCATTCGCACTCGGCAGCGCCATTCTGCCCCACACTGCAGAAACCATCGAGCCCGCAGTCCTTTTCATTACACGGGCCTGCAGGAGCGGAGGAATCAGGGGGGACTTTTGAGACGTCTCAAAGGTTAAGACATTACGGCACCCGCACTCGGCAGTGCCATCACCATGGGAGTTCGAAAAGCTGAAATGTGTGTACACGTGCATGTTTCACACCACTGCTGGTACACGTGCATGTTTCACACCACTGCTGGTACACGTGCATGTTTCACACCACTGCTGGTACACGTGCATGTTTCACACCACTGCTGGTACACGTGCATGTTTCACACCACTGCTGGTACACGTGCATGTTTCACACCACTGCTGGTACACGTGCATGTTTCACACCACTGCTGGTACACGTGCATGTGTCACACCACTGCTGGTACACGTGCATGTTTCACACCACTGCTGGTACACGTGCATGTTTCACACCACTGCTGGTACACGTGCATGTTTCACACCACTGCTGGTACACGTGCATGTTTCACACCACTGCTGGTACACGTGCATGTTTCACACCACTGCTGGTACACGTGCATGTTTCACACCACTGCTGGTACACGTGCATGTTTCACACCACTGCTGGTACACGTGCATGTGTCACACCACTGCTGGTACACGTGCATGTTTCACACCACTGCTGGTACACGTGCATGTTTCACACCACTGCTGGTACACGTGCATGTTTCACACCACTGCTGGTACACGTGCATGTTTCACACCACTGCTGGTACACGTGCATGTTTCACACCACTGCTGGTACACGTGCATGTGTCACACCGCATCGAAGTGGCGATGCTGCTGGAATGCCTCAAACTTGTCTGTTTCAATGTGTCCTCTTTCCAGCTCACCAGTGCAGCACTTACCACCATAGCACGTCTTGTAAAAATCATTGAACACAGAACAATCCGAGCTCTGGCACTCAGCAGTATCATTAGCAGCCACAATACACGTACGTAGCATTGGTCCCACAGTCCTTGTTGCCACACAAATCCGAAAAGAATGTGTTGTTCCGACGTTGATTAGGGAAAAGGAGTCAAAAGATTACGTGACCCACACTCCACGACTTCACACTCCACGACTTCACACTCCACGACTTCACACTCCACCACTCACCCACACTCCAGCACTCACCACCATCGCATGTCTTGTCAGATTCACGGAAGATAAAACCATTCCAGCACTGGCACTCAGCAGAACCATTAGCCACAACACACTTAGCATTAGCAGTGGTCCCACAATCCTTGTTGGCACACAGATCTGCACAGGAAATCATGCATTTTCCCGACATAAATTAGAAAAAAGGGGTCACAAGGTCAAAGATTTCTCTGACGACGTCACACTCCAGCACTCACCCACACTCCAGCACTCACCCACACTCCAGCACTCACCCACACTCCAGCACTCACCCACACTCCAGCACTCACCCACACTCCAGCACTCACCCACACTCCAGCACTCACCCACACTCCAGCACTCACCCACACTCCACCACTCACCCACACTCCACCACTCACCCACACTCCACCACTCACCCACACTCCACCACTCACCCACACTCCACCACTCACCCACACTCCACCACTCACCCACACTCCACCACTCACCCATACTCCACCACTCACCCATACTCCACCACTCACCCACACTCCACCACTCACCCACACTCCACCACTCACCCTCACTCCACCACTCACCCTCACTCCACCACTCACCCTCACTCCACCACTCACCCACGCATGTCTTGTCAGAATCGCTGAAGGTAGTACCATCCAAGCACTGGCACTCAGTAGTCCCATTACTAGCCACAACAACACACTTAGCAGCGGTCCCACAATCCTTGTTCTCACACACATCTGCACAGGAAATCATGCGTTATCCCGACGTTAATCAGGGGAACGAGGCCACAAAGATAAAAAGTTTCGCTGAAGACGTCACAATCCAGCACTCACACACGCATGTCTTATCAAACTCGCTGAAGATAAAACCATCCGAGCACTGGCACTCAGAAGTGCCATTAGTAATTACACACATAGCATCGGTCCCACAATCCTTGTTTCCACACAGATCTGCACAGGAAATCAAGGGTTGTTTCGAGGTAAAGCAGGGAAAATGCGTTACAAGTGCGGAGATCCTTCTAATCATTAGATCTTCGTTGCCCTCACCCACACTCTGGCCGGCCCACACTGGCAGTCAGCCTACTCACCATCAACATCGCTGGATTGGGTCGCGAGGAGAAGCAGTGGGGTGCCATGGCACTGCCAGTGGTGTGTGCCAGTCAGCCTACTACTCACTATTAACAACGCTGGCGTGCGTCGCGAGGAAGCTGATGGCAACGAGTCCCGCGACGAGTGCGGCGAGGCCACACAGGCCGGACAGGCCAGACCGCCGCCCGTAGGGCTTCATGACGACAGCCAGGAGCCGGCCAGGAAAACGGAGAGACGGGGAACGATCACGGGCGGCGCGATGGCAAAACGTTTTGCTGATCGCCTCACAGCAGACGGCCCCGGGCCCGGGAAACGGGAGAGGGGGATCGACTTGAGTTGCGGCACGATTTGGTGAGATTCGGTTTGGATCTTGAATGTGCGATTCAGAGGGGAGGAGACACGAGATGAGCGAGCAGCGGTGTGGGAATTTGATTGCGGCTTTGGAAGCGGGCATCAAATGTATGTGCTGAAAGTGAGTTGGACAATCCCCGCACATTGATTTATTGCTCCTATAATTCCATCAACCTGACTCTCGCGCAGCGCCGCCGGGTTCGCAGATAATGCAACGCCTTTCGTTGCAGAAAAGGGTGGGGCGCGCGGAGGGAGGCGCAGCAGGGACACACATAGCGGCCCGCGTAAGGACTCCTTATTACGGGGATGGAGGGAGTTTGAGGGGAAGGGGCGGGGGGGGAGGGCGTGAGGGGGGCGTCTCCTGCGCCGCCGGCCTGGAACGTGCGGCATTTGCGCAACTTTACATCGGATTGGGTAGTAGTAGGAGTCAGTAGGGGGTGTAGTACTAGTAGCGAGTTTCGTCATGAGGGGAGGGGCGCGAAAGGGTGCGGCTAGTTCTAATCAAACGGCGATTCTATTGGGCGAGGAGGGATTCGAACTCCGCGACTGCGCGCAGGGCGAAAGGCGAAAGGTTTCCGCCTCTAAAAATGGTAGAGCGCTCGCGCACACCAGGGTTGCGAGCAGTGCGGGACTTGCGGGAGTGATTTATATGATGTACGATTGCATTATAGCTATGTGTGCAATTCAAACAATGTGAGGAAGGCATGAGCGGAGATTACTCATCTTGCACAATTGGACTCTCCCGCGCCTGGGCTTTGCTGACTCAGAGAAAGGGTATTATGAGAAGTCTGCCTTTGCTGACTCAGGGAAAGAACATTGGGTATTGCGAGCAGTTCGTACTTTGCTGACTAATGGTAGAACAGTTGTGATGAATAACAAAGGGAGTGAACGGGTTTGGGAATGCCCTTGCACATGGAAGGAATGGTGAGAGTGGGAACAAACATTTGCTTGTAACAAGCTGACTGCGACATTTTGCGAGCGTTTGCGACAGACCTTTCATGAGCCTACAAGCGCAAGCACGCTTGCTTCTGGACGGAACTCTTCGCCCAGGCTGACTTTCCTCTGCGAGGGACCTCTGTCTGTCGTGCAGGCGAACCTGGTCGGGGGATGATGGCAGCCCGAACGCGCCCTCCCGCTTCGCCGATCTCGCTCGCGGTCAACACACCGTCCACCAGCCCGGTGGACAGTGAAGGATTGTGCCGTTTTTGCGAAACTGACGACGTTTGGCGAAATTGGCGACGTTCTGCGTTCCCATTTACCCATCTAAAAGTGGATTGCGACGTTTTACGACCCTAAACCCGAAACCGCGACGATGAAGCCAAGCCATCATTAAACCCCGAGATTTTGGGGCAATAGCGGGAAGACGCACGTTCGCTATTAGGGTAGGCGTCGTTCCCTAACCTAACGCTAACGCATCACGCGGGAAACAGAGCCGCCGTTACCACATAAAACGGACGCGCTATCAGCCGTTACAGCGTATGGCGAGCGCGTTGTAAGCCTTCCCGGTTACAGTGCTAGCGACCATAATGGCTCTAGTAACGCGGAAAAGCCCCACGACGATGGGCTTGCGAGGAGCAGCGGTGGACCGCACGTCGCTCCGAGAGGTCGAGACGCGATTAACCTTGGATATCCACCCGTCGCGGTCCGGGAATGTAGTAGCAGGAGTGAAGGAGCAGCTGAACAACTCTCTCATGCGGTAATTCCACTCGCATTGATGCCTGCCTGACGGTCTCGTGGGTCCACAACCGTCGAGCATTCCCGGACTCTAGTACTTGCCTTGCCTCCGGACTGCATTAGTCGAGGCGGAGCTGGATTGCCGTTGAAGCTGAATAACCCACCCATGCGGGTGAACGCTTTCAGTCGCTCGTGTCGCGCGTCGCTGTAATGCGCTCGTCTCTTGAAGCTTCTCGCGTCGGATGTCCCGTCGTCCTCTTTGTTTGGATTCTAGGGTTGTCTCGCGAGCCCTCCCGTTCGTTTGCGTCGCATCTGCTGCGAGCCGCTCTCGTCTCGACCGCCCCGTAACCGCTCCGTAAACGAAAAGAATTAAGCCGCGTGAAATAAAAAAAAAGCAAAAGTATTAGACGCCGCGCTCAGTAGAAAGTCGCACCTATTAGCTCCGTAGCAGTCCGCTGAAAAACAATCGATCGGATGGGAATGAACGGGCGGCACGAGGCACATTCACCGTCCGATACAGCGAGGATTACGGCAGGATAGGGCTGGCCTGCTGCGAGGAGACCCCAATCAGCGGTCAGTTGATGCGCAGGATAGGGCAGCCCCTTCTGACGGGATTCAACTCCCTTCTCACGTGTTCTCACCCCTCCCTACTCCACTCGCCTGCTATGATCCCCCCCCCCCCCCGCCCCCGGCCTGCCCATCCCTTCTCACTTGTTATCCACTGCATACCTTTGATCCCTCTTGCACCCTCCCCTTCCCGCCCCCTTCAGGTACAGCGAGCAGCACGGCGGCATCGTGTTGGCCCACTCCAACGTCTACTGCGTGTGTGGGGCTCCCAGTCGGTTTTTTAGAATTTTCAAAAACCATCTCCAACGTGTGCTGCGTGTGTGGAGCTCCGGCTCCCAGTCGGTATCTCCGTCTTTCTGCACGTCTGACGGTAACCAACTCCCTTCTCACTTGCTGTGCCTGTGGTTTCCCCTGCACCCTCCCCTTCCCGCCCCCGTCAGGTACAGCGAGCAGCACGGGGGCATTGTGCTGGCCTATTCCAACGTGCTGCTGTTCGGCCGCACAGCAGCCATTCTAACCGGACTCAACCCCTACCTCCACGTCAGCCTCTCCGCGCGCCTGCTGCTCTTCGCGCCGCGACCAGGAGCCTTTCTTGGTGAGGCAGCCTTTCTTGGTGAGGCAGCCAGGGCCCAGAGGCGCCTTGAGTTGGGAGGGAGGAGGGAGGAGTGAGGAGGGAGGAGGGAGGAGTGAGGAGGGAGGAGGGAGGAGTGAGGAGTGAGGAGGGAGGAGGGAGGAGCGAGGAGGGAGGAGCGAGGAGGGAGGAGTGAGGAGGGAGGAGTGAGGAGGGAGGAGGGAGGAGTGAGGAGGGAGGAGCGAGGAGGGAGGAGTGAGGAGGGAGGAGTGAGGAGGGAGGAGGGAGGAGGGAGGAGTGAGGAGGGAGGAGGGAGGAGTGAGGAGGGAGGAGGGAGGAGGGAGGAGCGAGGAGGGAGGAGCGAGGAGGGAGGAGTGAGGAGGGAGGAGTGAGGAGTGAGGAGGGAGGAGGGAGGAGTGAGGAGGGAGGAGCGAGGAGGGAGGAGTGAGGAGGGAGGAGTGAGGAGGGAGGAGTGAGGAGGGAGGAGGGAGGAGGGAGGAGGGAGGAGTGAGGAGGGAGGAGGGAGGAGTGAGGAGGGAGGAGGGAGGAGTGAGGAGTGAGGAGGGAGGAGGGAGGAGCGAGGAGGGAGGAGCGAGGAGTGAGGAGTGAGGAGGGAGGAGTGAGGAGGGAGGAGTGAGGAGGGAGGAGGGAGGAGGGAGGAGTGAGGAGGGAGGAGGGAGGAGTGAGGAGGGAGGAGTGAGGAGGGAGGAGTGAGGAGGGAGGAGTGAGGAGTGAGGAGGGAGGAGGGAGGAGTGAGGAGTGAGGAGTGAGGAGTGAGGAGGGAGGAGTGAGGAGGGAGGAGCGAGGAGGGAGGAGTGAGGAGGGAGGATGGAGGAGGGAGGAGTGAGGAGGGAGGAGGGAGGAGGGAGGAGTGAGGAGTGAGGAGTGAGGAGGGAGGAGTGAGGAGTGAGGAGGGAGGTGGGAGGAGGGAGGAGTGAGGAGTGAGGAGTGAGGAGGGAGGTGGGAGGAGGGAGGAGTGAGGAGGGAGGAGTTAGGAGGGAGGTGGGAGGTGGGAGGTGGGAGGTGGGAGGAGGGAGGAGTGAGGAGTGAGGAGGGAGGTGGGAGGAGTTAGGAGGGAGGTGGGAGGTGGGAGGAGGGAGGGGCGAGGAATGAGGAGGGAGGAGTGAAGAGTGGAAGTGAAGAGTGGAAGTGAAGAGTGGGGAATGAAGAGTGGGGAGTGAAGAGTGGGGAGTGAAGAGTGGGGAGTGAAGAGTGGGGAGTGGGGGGTGGGGAGTGGGGAGTGAGTAGTGAGGAGTAAGCATTGAGGAGTGAGGGGATGGTGAACTTTCTCCAGAACAATGTGGGGGCGGATTTTATCGCTCTGCTTGTGCTGCCCACCCTGCTCACTACTGTTTCTTCCGCACCGCTTCCCCCTACTCACCCCTACCCACCACTCCCTATCCTTCGCCTCGCACTCTCAGAGGGCGTGGTGAACAATGTGGGGGCGGATTTCATCGGTCTGCTCGTGCTGCTCTGCTCACTCCCCTCCTCCTCCACCCTCCCTGCCCTCCCCTCCCCTCCGTGCAGAGGGAGTGGTGAACAATGTGGGGGCGGATTTCATCGGTCTTCTCGTGCTGGGCGTATTCAACGCCGCTGTGCCCGACCAGTTCATGCGCTCCTGGAAACACGTGGAGGAGGTGGGTGCAGTGCACGTTTGTCTTGGTGTGTGCATGAGTTTGCATGAGTGTGCATGAGTTTGCATGAGTTTGCATGTTCATCTGCATGTTCATCTGCATGTCTGTCTGTCGTCAACGCCTCTTTCTCCGATCAGTTCATGCGCTCCTGGTACCACGTGGAGTGGAGGTGCGTGGGTGCAGTGCATTCTTGCTGGTGTATACAAACACATGCATGTTTGTCTTGTCTGTATGTTTAACGCCTCCGTCGCCGATGGGTTCATTCATTCATGCGCTCCTGGTATTGCATTGCACCATCTGCTCATTTTGTGCACCCTTGCTGGGCGTATTCAATGCCGCTGTCCCTGGCCAGTTTCATGCGCTGCTGGCGCCATGTGCAGGTGGTTGGGTGGGTGGGTGGGTGCACGCACGCGCGTGCACCTTTGATGTGTGCATGTGCATAAGCATGTGCTGCCGTGAGCGACTTCTGAGGCGCCTCAAAAGGCGTGCACCTTTGATGTGTGCATGTGCGTAAGCATGTGCTGCCATGAGCGCATAAACTGGTCGGGTACAGCGGCGCCAGGTGCAGTGGCGTCAGGTGCGGCGGCGCCGCCAGGTGTAGCGGCGCCAGGTGCAGGCAGGTGTGTGTGTGTGGGTGCAATGCAATGCAATGCAATGCAGTGCAGTGCATGCTGTGCACCGTTGCCCCCTTCCTCCACCTATCTCGTCTTATTCCCCAGCTTTTTTCACTTCCTCTCCTCCCATTTCGCGCTCTCTCTCATCTCATCTCATCTCATCTCATCTCATCTCATCCCTCCAAGGCCGCCGCCGACGACGGCGACGGCGACGGCCAGCAGCAGCACTGGCAGCACAAAGAGGACCCCTCCCACCGCATTTTCGTTGGCTCTCGCATTCGAGTGCAAGTGGACAGGTGAGTTTTCTTTTCTGTACACTCAGGAGTAGCTTCGCTTCGCCTTCTTGAGATGAAACGGCTCAACTCAACCCAACATCGAGTGCAGATGGTCATGTCATTATCTGAGAGGGATGGGTGCCTTGCAGGATGGGGGACTAGTTGGTTCTTGAGAATCAATAGAGACCCGCCACCGTTTTTCCGATGGCTCTCGGATGCAAGTGCAGGTGGCAGCACAGGGCTCACTCAACCAACCCTCTCTCATTCGCCTCGCCCTCCCTGCTGCCCCCGTTCTCATCCCCAGTGCCACAGGGGACGGCACGCTGATGTCCATCAGAGGGTCGCTGAGCCACCCAGATACGGTACGGGGTGCGTGGAGTGGCTGGCAGCACACGGCACGCAGCTGGGCCGCTAGACCATCCAGATACGGGTTGTGTGGAGTGGCTGGCAGCGCAGGGCTCACTCAATCGACCCTCTCTCATCCCCTCCCTTCCGCCCCCATCCCCATTCCCATTGCCATTCCCATTCCCATCCCCAGTGCCACAGGGGACGGCACGTTGATGTCCATCAGAGGGTCGCTAGATGATCTAGATACGGGGTGCGTGGAGTGGCTGGCAGAAAACTGCAAGGAACCGAGGAGAAGCAGACACCACCACACGGGCAGACACGCGCATGGGCATGGGCATGGGCATGGGCATGGGCATGGGCATGGGCATGAGCATGATAAGCAGCAGGAGCAGGAGCAGCAGCTGCAGTTGGCAGTTGTGGAACCGCAAAGGTATGTGCTTCCTTCGAAGCTTTGTCCTTATTTGCCGTGTGCCATGTGTCATGTGCCATGTGCCATGTGCCATGTGCTTTGTGTCATGTGCCATGTGCCATGTGCCATGTGTCATGTGACATGTGCCATGTGCCATGTGTTATGTGCCATGTGCCATGTGTCATGTGCCATGTGCCATGTGCCATGTGCCATGTGCCATGTGCCATGTGTCATGTGCCATGTGCCATGTGTCATGTGCCATGTGCCATGTGTCATGTGCCATGTGCCATGTGCCATGTGCCATGTGCCATGTCCCAACTGCCTTCCTCCGCTCATCCTCTCTCTTTTTTCCACTTCTTTGGCCTCTTTTGCAGTCTCTGCTGTACTGGTTAGCATGTTTCCTGTACCATCCATGTATTGTGCCCATGCACCATGCACCATGTACCATCCATGCACCGCACTGTGCCCATGCACCATGCTCCATGCACCATGTACCATCCATGCACTGCACTGTGCCCATGCACCATGCTCCATGCACCATGATCCATGCACCATGAGCCATGCACCATGCACCATGCACCATGCTCCATGCTCCATGCACCATGCTCCATGCTCCATGCTCCATGCTCCATGCTCCATGCACCATGCACCATGCTCCATGCACCATGCACCATGCACCATGCTCCATGCACCATGCTCCATGCACCATGCACCATGCACCATGCATTATGCACTATGCACCATGCTCCATGCTCCATGCACCATGCATCATGCACCATGCACCATGAGCCATGCACCATGCATTATGCTCCATGCACCATGCTCCATGCTCCATGCACCATGCTCCATGCACCATACACCATGCACCATACACCATGCACCATACACCATGCACCATGTTCCATGCACCATGCTCCATGCACCATACACCATGCACCATGCACCACGCACACCATGTGTCATGCACAATGCACCATGCATAAACCACATTTTTCTTGCTCCTCGTGTTTTGTCTCCATTTGTTAGTCCATTTCACCTTCTCATCCCTTGCCCATTTGCCTTTCCTCTTCCCTCGACCCCCTTCTTCCCTTCCCCCCCTGCCGTTCCCCGCCTTCCGATACCCACTCCAACCTCTGTTATCCCCTTCTTCCCAGCAGCACTCTCCCCGCCACCACACCAAAGAAGAAGCGTAAAGCCGACCAAGCAGCAGCAGCAGCAGAAGCAGAAGCAGCAACAGCAGCAGCAGCAGCAGGGGCATTAGTACTAGCAGAGCCTAAGACACCAGTCCCCGCTGGCATCACTGCCACCGCAACCGCAACCCCCCAGGCATCGCCAGCTCCCTCGGCTGTTGCAGCACCCAGCGGGGATGCAGGCGGGAAGAAGAAGAAGAAACATAAAGCAGACCAAGCAGGAGCAGCAGGAGCAGTGGTATTAGCAGAGCCCAAGACACCAGTCGCACCTGGTAACGCTGTTACAGCATCAGCAGCCGAGGCATCCCCAGCACCCAGCAGCGGCGGGGATGCAGGAGGGAAGAAGAAGAAGCGCAAGGTGAAGGAGGGGGATGTGTCTGCTGCCCACACAGCCACTCCCCCCGGTGCTTTGAAGGTGGCCAGTGGGAAGAAGGCAAAGAAAGCTGCTGCAGGCAGCAGCTAGGCTGTAATGCTAGAATGGGAATGGTGAAAGGTGGTGGAGAGTGGTGGAGAGTGGTGGTGGAGGTGGTGCCGTGGCCGTCTGCTGCTCGCACATCTTTTCCCCCCAGCTCTGTGAAGGTGGCCAGTGGGAAGAAGGCAAAGAAAGCTGCTACAGGCAGTAGCAGGCGGAGCGCTAAAACGGGAATGGTCAAAGGTGGTGGAGAGTGGTGCTGTGTCTGTCTGCGGCTCGCATTGGTTCAGGTGATGTGTCAGGTGCCCATACAGTGCATGCCTGCCTGTGCTTGTGTGTGGCTGAAACAGTGTGTGTGTAGGGGGGTGGGTAGAAGAGATACTTGGTGGTTCAGAGCGTTTCATTTGTATTGTACGGGCATGTCAATATGGCTGCCTGCCTGTCTGAAATGGAAGGCGTTCTGTATATGGATGCTGCTGCAACCGAGTGTGTTTCTGCTGCAACCGAGTGTGTTTCTGCTGCAACCGAGTGTGTTTCTGCTGCAACCGAGTGTGTTTCTGTGCCAATGAACGCTGACAAAGGTACCAACCACCGTAAATGACTGGAATTAGTGGTTGATATTCTTCCAAGTGTGTGTGATGGTTATGATGCAAGGTACTTTCCCCACTTGCCTTACCGTATCAACCACTCTTGACACTCTCAAGTGGATTGACTAGGCTTCTAGATCACCGGTATACCATGTTTCCAAGTTACAGTAGCTGCACTTCGTGACAAGGACGGACGCCCTTCTTCTCTTTTGAAGTGAGTTGACTAGGCTTTGAGGTTACCACCGGTACACCACGTTTCCGAATTACCATAGCGTAGCTGCACTTGGTGACAAGGACGCCCTTCTTCTCTTCCTCGCTTGCAAGAAGTGCTCCACTCGAGCCTGCCCTACCCAACAAAAGTAGTTGCCTGGTTGGTCCCTACAGCTGGGGCTGAAGTACCCTAGTTGTTGATGGTGGCACGCACCCCAACCTGCCCTTTTTCCTTCCCTGTACACTCTGCTTACTGCAACTCAAGTCAAAGGTCACTCACTAGCTAGATAAAAAATACCCACTAGTTGCTAATGGTGGCAAGAGTTGAGTCGCTTTTTTAGGAGGGCTCCAACTACACTCTAGCTGGAGCTTAGAAGGTTGCATATGGTGGCAATGGCAAGCACTCCCTCTTCCTCTTCCTCCTTGCTTGCTTGCTTTACTTATGACGACTGCTAATCTATCCACAGGTCAACTCTCTAGCTGGAGCTGAAGTAGTTGCTGATAGTGGCGAGCACGCCCTGCTCCTCTTCCTCCTCCTTTGCCGCGTCCTCTGCTTCGGCCTTCTTCTGAGCGTATCGTGCCGCTGCGATCCTCTCCGCCTCTGCCTTTGCTTCTTCTGGTTTCTCATCCTGGCACATGAGAAGGTAGGCATGATGAAATTCACAGCAAGATCATTTAGCTTGTGGCAAGACGAATAAGCTTGTAACAGATGTGGTAACACCAACGGAGCAAATGATACCTCATCCCTATCGCTCCTACCTCTGCCTTTGCCACAAACGATTGCACGAAAATGATGATTGCAGCAAGGTGAAGAGGGTTGCAAGGAGATTGCAAAGACATCACTGTGTGATCAGCAAGGCCGCAATGGGATGACAAATGAGGCATGACCTCATGTCCTCCACTGCCCATGCAGCCCTAAACAGCGCAGTCGGTTTTTGAGTCGACTCAAAAACCGACTCATCACACGCGGATGAGGCATGACCTCATGTCCTCCACTGCCCATGCAGCCCTAAACAGCACAGTCACACACTCAGCCCAGCATGACCCTCACTATCCAACCACATATCCAATTCAACTCAGACCAGAACAGAGCCCAACCCAATCCAACCCATCAGCACCACACCCCTTTCTTCTGGAAGAAGCTCATAAGATACGACTCAGCCTCCTTCCTCCCCGCCACCCATGCAGCCCAAACCAGCCCAGTCACACGTCCTGTCCAACATACCCCTTTCTATCCAACCTTACATCCAATCCAACCCATCCCAATCCCATCCCAACCCAGCTCAACCCATCACCAATGCAACGCACCACTTTCCCAGTGAAAAAGCTCATGAGGTAAGACTCAGCCTCCTTCTTCTCTTCCTTCACCTGCTCCTCCTCCTCCTCCCCATCATCCCACGAAAACAGGCTCCAGAACCCGCTGCTCTCCTGCCCCTCCTCCTGCTGCCTCCGCTTCTCCTCCTCGAGCTTCGTCCGAGCCTCCTCCTCCGCCTCCCGAGCCTCCTCCTCGGGGTCCTCCGGGGGGAAATAAGGAGCGACGTAGCCCTTGGCAATGTAGAGAGAGATTTGCATCTTCATGGCGTCCGTGTATGACTGGAGGGGAAGGGGAGGAGAGAGCAGGGGAACGGGGTCACTGGAGGAAGCCTCCTCCTCAGGGTCCTCCGGGGGGAAGTAGGGCGCCACATAGCCCTTGGCGATGTAGAGAGAGATTTGCATCTTCATGGCGTCCGTGTATGACTGGGAGGGTGAATGCAGGGGGGGGGGGGGGGGGAGAGGGGGGCGAAAGGGAGGTGGGTAGGGGAATGGCAGGAGGGAGCCACATAGCCCTTGGCGAAGGGGAAGGGGAAGGGGGATGGGGATGGGAATGGGAATGGGAATGGGGATGGGGATGGGAATGGGAATGGGAATGGGAATGGGAATGGGAATGGGGATGGGGATGGGAATGGGAATGGGAATGAGAATGGGAATGTTAATGGGAGTGGGAATGGGAATGGAATGGGAATGGGAATGGGAGTGGGAATGGGAATGGGAATGGGAATGGGAATGGGGGTGGGAATGGGAATTGGATTGGGAATGGGAACGGGAGTGGGAATGGGAATGGGAGTGGGAATGGGATTGGGAGTGGGAATGGGAGTGGGAATGGGAATGGGAATGAGAGTGGGAATGGGAATGGGAGTGGGAATAGGAATGGGAACGGGAATGGGAATGGGAGTGGGAATGGGAATGGGAATTGGAATGGAAATGGAAATGGGAGTTCGAATGGGGATGGCATTGGGAACACAGGAGGAAGTAGGGAGCGGTGTAGCCCTTGGAGATGTGAGAGCAATGTGCACTTTCATGGCGTTTGTGTATGACTGGAGGGAGCGGGGGAAAGTAAGGTGTGTGTCGGGTGGAAGGGGAGTTGAGGGAAGAGAACAAGAACTGGGATGAGTGAAAAAATGTGGCTCCCCTTTGCCCCCGTTTGACCCCGTTTGCCTCCCCGTGCCTCACTATGCCCCCCTCTCTCCCACTTTGCCCCCTTTTTGCCCCCTTTGCCCCCCTTTGCCCCTTTTTGACCCCCTGTGCCACCCTGTGCTCCCCTGTGCTCCCCTGCACGCATGCACACGGCAATCAGCATCTTCACTGCGCTGTGGATGGTCGAAGCCTGAGTGAACAGCACTTGGGATGGGTGCCCCCCACGGGATTGCGAGGAGGATGTGGGGAGTGAAAGAAGGTCAAAGCGCATCACTTTAGATGCTCACGAATCCACAAGGAGCGGCCAGGGATGAGCCACGAGGGGCCGGGGATGAGCCACGAGGGGCCGGGGATGAGCCACGAGGGGCCAGGGATGAGCCACGAGGGGCCAGGGATGAGCCACGAGGGGCCAGGGATGAGCCTGTCGAACCTTGAGTGTGTGTTTCCCCGTCGGGATGATGCAGGGAGTAGGAGGCCGAAGGTCAAGAAAGGTTCAAGAAGCTCAAGGAAGGTCAGGGAAGGCCAAGGAAGATCAAGGAAGGTCGAAGAAGGTAAAGGAAGGTCAAGGAAGGTGAGAGGGTGCGAGGGTGTGAGGGGGCTTACGAGTCCATCGGGGATGTACGCATCCAGCTTCTGCTCCACCTTGTACGCCACCAGGTTGACTTTTGACTCGACTCAGAAGTCAACATGAGTCAACTCAGGACGCGGTAGAGAGGCTTGCTTACGAGTCCATCTGGGATGTACGCGTCCAGCTTCTGCTCCACCTTGTACGCCACCAGGAGCTCCGCCCGTCGCTGCACGCCACGTGTCAGGTAGCTGGAGAAGTCAGGAAGGGCCTCCTGCCAATGAGAGAAGGAAGAGCAGCATGCGTGACGAAGGTGTGTGGAGTGCGGGGGTGGGGGCGGGGAAAGTGGGGAAAGGGGGGGTGCAGGGGAAGGGGGGGAGAGAGGGGGGTGGAGGGGGTAGGTGGGAAATAAACAAGAGGGGGGAGGCGGGAGGAGGGGTAAAGTGAGTTGCGAGCGGTGGCGGGTAATAAGCATGAACACACACAACTTTGCACGTGTAATTCGAACGTTGCTGCTCCATGGCCTCAGCGCATGATCAGCCTGCAACGTTCGAATCGAATGCGCAAAGTTGTGTGCGTTCACTGCATGCACTTTTCGCACCCCCCATTGCACGCAGTCACGCCCGCCGGTTCGCCATTCACTTTCGCAACCCTCGAGGAACGGTCCTTAAAGAAACATCCGCAGAGCCTGGCACGACCGTAGCATGTTTCTCTGCGGCCAGATGGGCGAAAAGTAGTGTAACGCTGCTGCCATGCATTTCGCAACGACGATCAGGCATGTACGACCACGCGTTGCCTTGAGGGGTACCACTGGAGACGCCCAGCAGACCTTCTGCGGCCCCTCTAGTAGGGCGCGCTACAGACGACTAACTAGAGGCCGAGGTCGAGACGACAAAGCTTACAGTCAGATCAATCAGGACTGGACTAGAATTAGGAAACTCAGCATTGATGTTTCGCGATACTAGACAGCGGAACCACGACGCAGAGCCTCTTGGCTCTGAGAGCAGAAGGTCGAAACGTCTCAGCGCCACAATGTGGCATCACGCCCCTGGCGAGAACCGCGCGAGCAATAACGAGCACGGGTAACACAGGGCGAGAAGCTCTCGCCAGGCTTTGCGACGTTGAAGAAAAGGAAATCGAGAAGCTCTCGCCGACGGCTCTTGTCGCCAGGTGCGCCGCGGGATTCTCGCTGCATCCTATACTAACAACGCGGTCCTAACTCACAAAAGGAACAAAGCGGAGACAAGTCCTAATTCAATCACATTGCCGCAATATCTAGAACAGAATGCCTGAGACTCAAGGAACGGTACCATTTCGAAGGTTCAGCGATGGCGGTGCGAAGGGCGTGGAGACAAGAGAAAGCCGGTGGGAGACGGGAGTGTGCCCGTAACAGTGTTTGAAGTCTGCTGCTTTTGGAGGAGAAAGGAAGAAGCCAGTCAGAGACGGCTTGTGGTCAAGCTTTTTGCACCCCAGGCGGATTGCGCAGTAACACTGTGCTATTCAGCAGTGTTATGAGTTTTACTAGACAGAGTGCGCGGACCTCGGGACGTGGTTGGTTTGGATGTGTCGCGATTGGTGCGGGGCGACTCGGTAGTGGTTCGGTCCGAAATGTAGGCCGAGCCACCTGACGCGAAGTGCTCGGGCTGTCCTCGCTAGGAGCAGCCTCTACAGTAATGAATTGTGTATTCATTACAAGCAGTCTCGAGAGGCACACATTGTATAACGGAAATTATGTCAATGGTAACTTATATGGTGCACTATTGTTATGAGTTGTAAAGGAGAGTGCGCAGATTAACGAATAACGAGGTGTCAAGAATAGAACTAGGAGTGAATGGTTGAGATAGGCAAGAGGTGAGTACAATGTTAAGTTGTGTTATATATCCTGCTTGCTGTGTGTTCTAGTGTAGCTACAGTGACTTGTTGGTGGTGCACCAATGTGCTCACATTACTTTGCTATATCCTGTACCCTCGCTGTAGTGAACCCCACTTCCTTCCTGTTCCTCTCGCTCACGCTACCCCAAACCCTAAGGCTACTATTCTTACATGGTATCAGAGCAGGTTCCTCTTAAGGACCTAATCTTTCTCTTAAAGACATGGCTGCTGCACCCGCTAAGGCACTCTGGCGCCTACCCGTCCCGTCCCGTCGCGCCTGCTGCCCTGCCAGTTCGCCGCGGCGCCCGATTTTCGTCGCCGCGGCGCCCCTTTTTCCCGTCGCCGCGGCGCCCGCTTCCCATCGCCGCGGCGCCCAGCGTTCCGTCGCCGCGTCGCTCCCCTTCCTGTCGTCCGCGGCCCCCGTTTCGTCGCCCCGCCCCCCCCCCCCCCCCCGTCGCCCCGCGGTCCGCACCAGCGCCAGCACCAGCCCCTGCGACTGCCGCCAGCGCCAGCGCGGAACGCAAGCGCCAGCGCCACCGTCACCACCAGCGCGGAACGCCAGCGCTTGCATCAGACGCGAAGCGCCAGCGCCTGCGCTAGCGCGGACGCCAGCGCCAGCAGCTCCTTACGCCGCCCCCCCACCTTCCCTTCCGCGGCTTCTGCCGTGGGGGGGGGGGGGTAAGATGTGGGGGTGGCGGGGGTGATCAGCCAGCAGCCTGTCCCTCCCCTCTCTCTTCCTGCAGGGCTTGTCGCCGTGGAGAAGAGGGGGGGGGGGGGAGAAGTGGAAAAGGGTGAGGGGGTGGCGGAAGTAGAAAGGTGTGTAGGGTGTGAGGTTCAAGTGGTTGAGTGACAAGGGGGGTGAGGACTTGGGGGTTATTAACGGGGGGGGATCGCTATGAGCGTGCGCGCTCATGCCCACCTAGCCCACCTCCTCTCCTCATCGGGACCTGTGGGTTATTAACGGGGGGGGATCGCTATGAGCGTGCGCGCTCATGCCCACCTAGCCCACCTCCTCTCCTCATCGGGACCTGGGGGTTATTAACGGGGGGGGGGATCGCTATGAGCATGCGCGCTCATGCCCACCTAGCCCACCTCCTATCCCTTTCCTCTCTCACCTCCCCCTTTGTAAAAGGAGGTTCGTAAGCGGGTACCCTGGGCATTGAGCATGCGCGCTCATGCACGCCCCCCACCTCCTCTCCTCTTCTCTCCTCTCCTCTCCTCTCGCCTCCTCCTCCTTCCCTACCTCTCTACCCTCTTCCGCTGCGCCACGTATACCTGTACTAGTTATCACGGCAAGCAGGTTAAGGGGGTGTGTTAAGTTGTGTTATATACCCTGCTTGCTGTGTGTTCTAGTGTAGCTACAGTGACTTGTTGGTGGTGCACCAATGTGCTCACATTACTTTGCTATATCCTGTACCCTCGCTGTAGTGAACCCCACTTCCTTCCTGTTCCTCTCGCTCACGCTACCCCAAACCCTATGGCTGCTATTCTTACATACAAGTAGGGGAAAGCTAAACCTAAAGTGTTGTACTCACTAAGGAGTGACCCTACTGTAGCCTAGAGATACAATTGCAATTTGACACACCCCCATAGGCAAAGTAGGGGATAGCAAACACAACAAGCGGTCACAAGACCAGTCTGCAGAAGAGAACACAACCCAGGGTGGATCACACAGTCACCACGCATTCTGAGCACAAGAAAGTGGCCACAAGGCCAGTTCACATGCAGATGTATATAATAGCAAGGCAGTACACTGATCACAACCTAGCAAGAGAAAACATGCAGGTATAAAGATATATAGCAGTGTACAGCAAGAACAAGTCAAGCAACCAGCAGGTGAGGCAGAATGGGCACAAGCCCAAGAGCAGTGCAGAAACGCTGATGATCACCAGCCCCAAGGGCCATGGTGAAGACATCAGCAGTGTTGGCCCGAGAGGCCACGAAAGCAAGGCACAGCTGACCACGCTGCTGCAGCTCACGCGCAAGGAAGTAGCGAAGAGCAATGTGCTTCGTTCGGTGCTCCAGTCTCTGCTCACGACACAAGGCAAGCATTGCATTGTTGTCGACGTACAGAACTGGAGGAGAACAAGGCCGCTCCCCCAAGTCGGTCAGCAGGTAGGTCAGCCAGCGGAGCTCCTGTGCAGCCATGGCCCCAACGTAGATCTCGGCCTCACAGCTGGAACCAAGCACAGAAGAAGAACGAGTGGACCTCCACGAGACGGAACCAGCGCCAAGACTGAAGGTGTAGCCCTGTGGCGAACGCTGAGTCGCCTGGTCGTCGACCCAAGAAGCTTCAGAGTGTCATGTGAGGACCACCGAACCCCGTCCTCCAAGCACGAGCCCCATGCCCGATGTGCTGCACAAGTAACGTAGTACCCTCTTCGCAACATCAAAGTGCACCTTTCGGTGCCTACCGGGTGCCACGTAGCGAGCCAGAAGGCTGAGAGGGTACGCGAGGTCAGGTCGTATGCACGTCATCAGGTACATAAGGCAACCCACAAGCTCTGGGTACGGACCACTCGGCTCTACGGACTCGTCTGAAGGTGGAGCTGAGAGCGAGTGGCCGATAGCCAGAGGAGTGGGCTGTGGCGAGGAGTACGTGAAGCGGAAGGACCTGGTGCACCATGTGTGACTGAGTGAGGGTGATGGTGCGCCGTGCTCTGTCCCGGGTGATCTGCAAGCCAAGATAGCTCCGCTGCTCACCCAGGTCAGTGCAGGTGTGTCTCTCCTGCAGCTCCGCCTTCACTAGGGCAAGTGCCTCAGTGTCGCAGGCAGTGGGGAGTGTGGTAGCAGCGGTGGCTGTGACTGGTCCGCTGGCGGACACAGCAACGGAGGAGTAGTACCTGCCATAGGGAAGCCAGTAGCACCTGGCGGAAGACTGAGAAGGTGGCGAAGAGCACCAGTAGCTCCCGTACCTCCAGCACGAGCAGCTCCTCCAGTACCCCCAGCAACACCTCCAGCACCAGTAGCACCAGCACCTCCAGCACCAGCAGTACCACCTGCTCCGGCAGCTCCAGCACCTCCAGTACGAGCACCTCCGGGACCAGTATCTCCAGCACCTCCAGTACCTCCAGCTCCAACGCCTCCAGCACCAGCAGTACCAGCACCTCCAGGGTCAGCAGCTCCCGCAGCTCCAGCACCAGTAGCACCAGGACCTCCAGTGCCACCAGCTCCAGTACCTCCAGCACCGGCAGCAGCTCCAGTACCCCCAGCACCAGCAGCTCCAGTACCCCCAGCACCAGCAGCTCCAGTACCTCCAGCACCAGCAGCACCTCTAGTACCTCCAGTAGTACCTCCAGCACCAGCAGCACCTCCTGGACTAGTAGCTCCAGCACTAGCAGGACCGTACCCTCCACCACCAGGACTGCCTCGCAGAACGACCCACGCCCGAATCGTCTGCGG